GTGTGTGTGTGTGTGTGTGTGTGGTCCAGGTATTACTCATGTTGTGGGGACCTAAATCTTTATAGGGACATGTCTTCCTAATGGGGACCAATTATAGTCCCTATAAAATCAGTTTAAGGTTAGGTTCAGGTGTAGGTTAAGATTGGGTTTAAGATGTGGATAGGGGTTAGGTTAAGGTGAGAGTTAAGCATGAATTGTTAGGGATATGGTTTTGGTAAGACTGTCTGCAATTAATGGAATTATGTGTGAGTGTGCTTCCCCTCTCCTCCCCTGAGATGCTGCTTAATATGTCGTGTTATATGATGTCGGGTCATGTTGTGTTTCACTTCCTGTGTTTAGGACCCAGCCGGCGCTTTAAGCGAGTAGTGGAGACGATTCAGAGCCAGTTGTTAAGCACACACGACCAGCCTGGGGTCCAGCAGCTGTCTGGTGAGTAGAAACTTCTTTTTCCCGAAAAATCTCATTCAGAATCTTCACCAAATCCTTCCATCTTTTACCCCCCCACCCCACCGCCTCATCTGTTCATCCCACCCCCCTCTCACGACACACCTCTAACCGCTGAAGCCGAGCTAAATCCTGCCCCCTTCCTCTTGCCACCCCCTCGTGCCTGAAACCCCTGAGCCACTCGTCCTCGTTCCTCTGCATGCCAGCGCCTCGCCGCCATGAAAGGGTCGGGGGGGGGGTTGCTCTCGAAGAACCGACTCGCGGGTCAAGCGTTGCCTCGTCGCCCTGGCGGTGCAGATTAGAGAAGAGAGGTTATGTGTGAGCCCGATACGCATTCTGTTACTCCTACTTCCAAGAGTGATCGTCGAAGCTTGTCACCATGGCAACACCACTGCACCTCAACGCGCTCCCACAATGCACTGCACCGCACAGCGACACCACACCTGACTCACTCTCGCTCTTCCTCTCTCTCTCTCTCTCTCTCATTCACCCTGTTGATGGAAAACATTTGTCTGATGAACTCAGTGAGAGTGAACTTCATGGAATCATTAGAACGTCCCGTCTTCTTCTTTTTTTGTTGATGCAGAAACACGTTCTCCCAATTTCACATAAGGAGAGAAAAAGGATTCACACTCCTCCCTGTCTCCTTCTTTGCATGTCCCTCCATCACTGCTCTGTTTGTGTCTCTCAGGCCCCATTCTCTTGACAACAGCTCCATCTGCTGGTCAGTCAAGGAAACACCATCAGCCTTAAAACCAGGAGGTAGCTTGTGACACCTGGCTCCTCTGTGTTTGTGTCTTTTTTCTCTTAAACACATGTTTCAGTTCCAGGTTGAATACAGGATATGAAACTGACTCTTCGTCATCATCCTCGAGCTTTAGCGTTGTCTTATAATATAACTTATAACTGTGAGCTGTCTCTTTGCTCTATCGTTTTATTCCCATGTCAGATAACGGACTCAAACGATGGTCGTGACATCTGTTATTATATTTGGCACATTTGTAATTGTTTTATTTTTTTCTGCGTCTTTTCATCGGCGAGTAGGATTTGAAGATTTGAAAACCTCTCTAAGGACTCATTAACTTTTGTGGAGGGGCGGGGTATGACCCAAGGATGAACATTCAGTTTAAATAGGTGGATATATATACGTTGTTTATCATTGTGAGATAGCGTGAGTGTTTTTCAGCATTTACCTTGAATAATTCATGGATCTTGGAAAAAAAATCAGACACTGTGCCTTTCTAGTTATATAATATGATATATATAGAATTATAATTGTGTTAAACGTAATGGTAAGATTAGAAGAATACTACATTAGATTAGGGTTGAGTGGCTGCTTCATGTTGTCTGTGCAGTACAACTCACACAAGAGTAAAATGATCTCTTTAAGATCAGAGCATGAGAAGATAGTGACTGTATCAAGCAAGATCAGTCTAAATTAATTTCACGTCTTCACACTATCAGAGTTTCTAACAAGGATCTTGTAAAACGGGTTCAAATGTGCTTGAAATCTTCAAAGATTGTTTAAATGTAACCTCAGTCACCTTCAGTGCTTCCTGCCCACAGGGCCTTTGAATAAGAAGCCACCGTGTGTAATTAAGAATAGTAACGGCTTTGCATACCAATGTGTGTCAAACAAAAGGCTTCATCAAGTCCTGGTCATTATGTTCCCTAATCACCTTTTAACAGCAGTAGTCCTGGAGTTCAGCTTAGGCAGAAAACACAAGGGTGGAGCAAGTATAAGGAAGGTGGAGGAGCAGAGAGAACCACAGGAGAAGATGGTGTCTGTGTTTCATTTAACAGCGGAGGTCATTTACTTTCATGAGCATTTTTGAAAATGTGAAGATGAAAATGTAGAAATTGTCCCACATTTCGTCAGGGGGGAGTTGGTTGCGACCATTTTCAGGCTGGATAACGAAACATGCAAAATCACGCATAATCTTGTACTTCTATTTTAATGGGTTCCCAAATCCCTAATCCTAATCTTAACTAATCAATCAAATCACAACTAAATGCTTAACCCCAATTATAATGCTTACCCTAAGGGTTGGGGTTTCCCTGACCTACATTTATCCCTAACATTAACCAAAAACAATCCAACACATATTTAAAACTTCAACAAGCCCTTAACCAGAATTAATCCAAAATCAATAATCTAAACTACTTCTTACCCCAAACTTAAACTTATTCTTACCCTAAAACTAATCCTAACTATCTCTACACTTAAAAGAAAAAGTGAGGACCAGCTGAAATGTTTTTATTTCATAGGCTCTGTCCTCAAAGTAGTCACAGAGATAAGTTCTAGTGCACACAGTAAACAGATTTGGGTCCCTACAAAATAAGTAATGCCTGGACACACACACACACAGAAACAGAAACGTTACAACAAAAACACATTCTCTCGTCCACGCTTGGATTAAGTTTTTCCTAATCTCCATGTTTCTGCAGAAAATCTTCACTCCGGCAGTTCAAATTCAAATAGTCACAAACCAGCCACAAAAGAGATTCTAGTCTCCAGCAGCTTTTTATTAAGTGCTGATACACAGACCAGTCCTCTGTGTGGGTGTGTGTGTGTGTTTTGTCATCTGTACAGAAACCCTGCCTGTTGTTGTCACTGTTCATTTGTCGACCCACAGGACTCTATTGTACAAATGCATCCCAGAGATGTGCTGCGTCTGCACCATTAACTAAAAAGAACCTTTATTTGCTCCATTACTTATGTTTGGTTTCCTCAGCACTGACTGTACCTGCAGTGAGACCATCAAGGCCCTGCAGGAGGGATCAGTGTGTTTAGCTACACGCATACTGACACACACACACAGTGTTGTATTCAGCATGTTGAAACAGTATTTATGACTTTTGAACTCGTGGTTGAATCTCATGAGTTGGACTCTCTCTCTCTTCAAAGAGGAGCACAGAAAGGATGGAGCCTCTCAGAGTGTGCGATGTCTTCGGGCCAGGTTTTGTAGCATGAAACTCTGGTGGAGAAACATGTTGATCAAAGGGCGTCTCGCTGCTCCGGGCGGACTTAAGTCCAAACATCTCTGATGCGCTTCACTCGGTACAATGGCCGTGAGACGGACAGCCTCTGTCATCGGATTTGTTGAGGTTGGAGTTGCCCTTCAGTGTTTTAATGACATCTGCAAAACTTTATGAATGAGTGGGTTTGACAAAAGGAGAGGAGACAGTGTTTCTCATCCTTCAAGGACCTCCTTGTGTTGAAGCTCCAAGGTTTCTCATTGTCCTCCTTGCGTCATCTTTGTCCTCCGTAAGGGAAAAAGAAAACGTAAACAGTCAGACGTCCAGTTTCAGCTTGTGGTCGAGCACTGAGACACAGACTGTGTTGTGTTCCCCAGGGATGAAGGTGGAGTTAGAAGGTCGCAGCTTTCCTTTGTGTTTGATGAGTTAGGGCCCGGCCACAAATACTTTAATAATAATAATAATAATACACATTTACAGATAAAAACACAGAGTGCAGCGTGGCTTCATGTATGACACGCCACACTGTTTCTCTACAGCACAGCTTGTTTGTTAAAGGTTCAGTGTGTAGGATTCACTGACATCTAGTGGTGACGTTGCATGTTGCAGCTGAATACCCGTCACCTCACCCCCTCTTCCAAACGTGAAAAAGAACCCGTGGCAGACTTCAATGGTCCCGATGTAAATATGAAATTTTTCAATAAGAAAATAACAATTCAGAGATTATTTTATTATTTTATCTCTTTCAACTAAATCTTACAAACTGAACCTTTAAAGTAATTCACTCTGGTATCAGTCTATATTAATTTCAGCCCACAGACTATAACTTCCAGTTTGAGGTGGAATGGCTGCTTGTGTGTCTCCATCATTTCTAACATGTGCATGTGTTATCGGAGCTCCGAAGTCACACAGTCTCATCACGGCTGCTCCAGCAGGTCTCATCCTCGCTGCGTCTGCTCCTCTTCCTCCTCTTCCTCCTCGCCTCTGCTTGCTGTGTCTGTACCTGTAGCTCTGTCGTGTGAACCCCACTGTTCATTAGTTTGTTCTCTCTCTCCTCCCCTCTTTTGTTTTTTCTCCCCCTTCTCTTCCCGTCTGTGTACCTAGGCAGCCCATTGAGTAACTTCTTTGACGTAATTAAACAACTTTTTTCAGACGAGAAGAACGGACAAGTGCCCTACGGCTCCGGCACGCCCTCCAAGCGCTGCCCCTCGCCCATGCACACCCAGAGGCACGAGCATAATGACACCAAATGCCCCGCGGCGGGCCGAGACAGGGCCAAGTTGTCGATGGCGTCTGTGGGGACACAAGAGGAGTCTTAAACTGCGACACTGTGTAGTCGAGCCAGTGCTAAAAACCCATCCCAGTATAAGCCAGCGACACAGAGAGAATATCTGTACATAGCCAGATGTATATAATAATATATGGACCTTTTTTGTAAAAAATAACTTTATATAGACAGAAATATATTAAGAGAAAGTGATATTTTACAAGCAGCATACTGCACCTACACCACAAACACACTCCTTCCATTCCCTGTTTCATTACGCCTCAGTGTCCACCACCACCCTCATCCTCCACCCCTCCACTCCTCCACCCCAACAATCTAACCGCCTGTGGCCCTCGCTCTGTGTTTTGCTCCCTTGCTGCTAACCTGTGTGATGACCTGACTTGTTTCTGACACCAGGAATTATCCAGAAAACCTATTAAGTCCCTGCTCCTCCTGCTCCCTGCTCCGTCCGCCCTCCCTTCGACCGCCTCTCCGACTCCCCGCCCCACCCCACCCTGAGCGCGCCGAGAGAGAGAGAGAGACGGAGGACTGCTTTTAGAGGTACGCTCAGAAGTGTGTGGGGGGGATGTTACCATGGAGACAGGAACCTTCATCCTCCTCCGTGCCCCTTGTCTACACCTCTGACAGACGTCATTAGAAGTAGCTGAAAATACCTTTAGTGTACCCTGCCCCCCCCCCCCTCATCTTGGAAACACAGTCACACACACACACACACATGCAGCACAACTCATCTTACACACACACACACACACACACACACACACACACACACACCCTGATGAATCATGTCGCCCTCGCCGACCCCGGACGCCTTTCCTCTTCACGAGCTCAAGGAGCACTGAGTGATTGGAAAACAAGCATTTTACATACATACAGGAAACGGAACATTCACATGCACAGAAAACTCTGGGATGTCTCAACAAGAACATGAAGAACAACAACAAAAAGAAGACTTGCAGAGAAACTGATTCAGAGGACAGAAGGGGGCGGGGCAGGGCAGGGCGGGGTGGGGGGGTTTATGGAAAAGCCCAAACAGCCGACGCGGACGCTTGCTGGATTGTATTTGTTTGCTTTTTAATGTACATTCTTTGTGAAGAACTGGGTTTAAAACACTAACGGACTTTATTAGACTTGATACTATATATATTGCTGCGAACGGACTGGAATTGTGATTTCAGAGAGGAGCAGGGTGGGGGGGAGAGTGGGGGGGTGGGGAGATGATATCATAGTATAGGGTTTGCGGGGGGGTGGGGTTGGGACGCGGGTGGGTATGAGGTTATTTAAAATGAATGATCTATTCTGTTGTACAGACTGATATCATTTCTTATGTAAAAAAAACAAACAAAACAATTAAACGTCTAGTTGTGACACTATGTTTAGTTACCATGGGGACGGGTTGGTAAACCTGCGCCTGCCACATATTGTCATTTAAAATTCTTCTGTGTATTTTATTTTATTTTTTTGTTAAATGATTATCTCCGTCTCTGCTCGATTGACCTGATTTGTCATCGGAACATTCCTGTTCTCTGCAGCACTTTTGTCTTTGATTTCTCCGGTTTTCCATTCATACCTCTCTCTTATAGACTTACTTACCAGCAGTAGGAGTAGAGGAACAAAAAAATGGTGACATGATAAATGCAACTGTGGATATTTTTGTATTTTTTTTTTTGTCCTTATTTATTCACGTTTGTTCATCTCGCTGTCTGATTTCCTAATTTATTGTTACTTGGCTATTTATATGAACAAAGCTGTTAGGTCAGTTGAATGTTATTTATTACCCTCTTGTGTGTTCGTAAAAATGGGGCAACATTTGAAGAAAAGACAAACTTTTCTTTTCTTTCCTTTTGGTCGGACTTTTAAACAGAATTACGTGAACACATCACAAATTCTCTTTTCCCTCTAACTCACTGAGGAGGGAAAGAGAACTTGTGTGGAACTCTTGGGGGAAAAAATGATTAACCAGTTATATAAGAATGTAGACGTAGCCTCTTTTTGGAGAGGGAATATGCTCTTCTATCGATATTTGTCAAGTTTCATATTATTGTACGTGTTGGCCAGGCCTGGGGAGAAGCGCACCACAGATCCCAGTGTGCTTCTTCTCGTTGTAAATAGACAGACAAACAAACCTTGGGGGTGATTGTCTTCTCGACCATGCTGGGGATTCCTGCTCTATGCTTTTAGCTTGTATTGCTGTGTGCATGTCGAACACGAGCTTTTCTTTGCATGGCTTTAGTGTTAATGTTCCATGCCAAACTCACTCCTTCTCTCAGCCTTCATCGATTCTCCACAAAACTACCTTTTAATGTTTTAAATTTCCCGCCCTGTGTCCCTTACTCTCTGCTTTTTCTTTTGGCCTTTTATTCTTTTCTTTTTTTTTTTGTTTTATCGTCCCCCTCGCTCCTGCTGATCTCTCCCTTCCTCCTCTTTATCTCGTGCACAACGTTTTTAAAAACAATGCTTCCTTTTACTCTGAAACTCTCTCTGGAAGGCTCAGTGGTCCGGGCTCTCTCTACCAGGTGGTAGCAGAGGCACAGGGAGTGGATATCAGTATCCTACAAACACAAAGCAATACCCTATTGTTCACCCTCCTTTCTGTTTTCTACAATGGGAAGCTAGCAGCACTGAGGACATCCAATGATTGGGAGGCCCAGAGCGGCCTTTTCACAGAGCAGGAACAAAACTGACTGATGTAATCCCCATATAACACAACTGTGAGCATCTTCAATGCTGAAACAAATAAACTCATTCAGTTACTGTGTCTTTGTTTTTTTGTTTTGTTTTTTGAACATGTGTAGGTAAGTGCAGACCTGAAGGTAAATATTCTTCACTATCGCAACTTTATAACACAAAAGATTGTGTATTTACTTTGCTTGCATGTGTAATCTCTTCCATGTAGGTTTGTGCAACTTTACATCTGATGTTCACACAACCACCGATGATTGAAATCATTTCCACGAGTGACAATGACCAGATTTGTTCACCAGGTTTATTACGATAATCAGCATTAAAACAGATTCTCTGTCGTTGGATTCTTCTGCTGTACCTGTGTAGAAGCATTAAACCTCAGCATAGATATATAAGCTTAATTAAAAGGTTAGTGTACCTGGAAAAACCTCAGCTACACAAAAGCTACTTTTTTTGAAACAATATTAATAATTAGCTTGGATTACAAACAAAATAAAAAGGGAACACCCCCGTTAAATACTCTCACATCTTTTTTTTTTTCTCTCATTAAATAGAAAATGTCCATCCCACTCTTCAAGTGTTGTGTTTCTCTGGTCGTACTTTCAAAACAAAACAGAAAATAAAAAAACGGTCTTAGAAAAAGTACATTTGTTTATCCAGAGTTCACGTCAATGCAGGAGGCGCAGTGCCTCCGTCCTCCCAACTCTGCATAATTAGAAATAGGACAAAGCCAAAAGTCCAGCATGGCTGTCTCACAGGAGATGCTTCAGTCTATAAACACGTGGCTTAGCTTCAGTCAGAACCAGATCAGCCACTGATCCCAATGCTCCAAGGCAGAGGTTTGTTTTGCCAGTTTTGTCCATTAGAGGGCAGCAGTGTTTCATGATCCAGAGGGGCCACCTGTTTGCTTCTGTTGAAGCTTCTCGAGTCGAAGAGCAAAGCGTCACATCGTCCATCTTTCTTCTTCGTAAACATGCTGTACAATAAAGTCAACATGGAGCGATGGCACCAAATATTCTTTGTCCACAGAGCAACATGTCACTGGACCGTGTCCCAGCGTCAGAGAGCTGTGGAAACTGCTTGTTGCTCGGGCCAGGATCAGATGTTACTAAGAAAACATCTGTACTTCAACCATGGGGACATCTCTCGACAGATCTGATCCAGAACCAGTGATATAATGAAACTTCCGCTGCCACATTTTCCCTCCTCTTCTCCTCTGTGTGCATCGTGTTCTCCTCAGACTCGGGAGGTGACGTAGAGAGAGCGCAGGCGTCGAGCCAGCGTGGCCTCCAGCTCCTCCAGAGGTGAGTCTCCCCGGCTGTGAACCAGCGTAGAAGTGGGGTTGTTCCCTTGTCGGGCCCCGGGGGGTCCCAGCAGCAGGCTCCTAAAGCCCTCTCTCTCCAGCAGAGCAGGCATCTGCTGTAAGAAGTAACCTTCACAGAACGAGCTCAGCTCCAGTGAACCATAGGCCTGGAAAAAAGAACAGACAACACGGATCATTTCCTGCACTAGAGACTTGAGGAATTGTTTGTATCAGTTGCATTTTAACTTAAACTTGTTGATCTCAGTCCCTCTTGATAACAAAGCTTTGTGTTGTGATTTCTACAGTTCAAATAGCAGAAGAATAAAATGTAGGCTTCTGTATGTGTGTGTGTTACCTTTGCTGTCTTGTAGATGCTGACTGCGTTATCCAGGTTGATGTGACGAGAGCAGATGAGTTCACAGTGTCTTTGTAACGCCCCCAGGTGGAACAGACTCGCCATCGACAACAACTGCATGAGAAAAACATAAATATCAACAATCGCCATACGAACTTCAGTAACACACACATACAGGACAATTACTTTTTATTATTATTTGTGGCTTTTTATACATTGTTGTTTTTTGCACATCATCATTAAATTCGACAAATTAAAAGTTTAGTTTCTTCTTATTATCAAATCATTAATTTCTGAATCACTTGCTGTAAAATGAAGATGAACATTGAACTTCATCTGTCAAGTGTCAAACATGTAATTATCGCTGCTGTGGCGTAAGAAAGATGTTTTACTTGTGGTTTTTAATACAGATTTTTATTAGGAATCTCAGGTATATTGACATTTGTTTACAGTTCCAGTAAAGTTGAACTGATTTACGTAAAAAAAAAAAAAAAAAAGGAAATTTAATTCCCCTGAAAAACACACACTTTGTTGGGCCAGCATCAGTCTGGTAATCTGCACCCAGAGACCCAGAGGGATGGTGTGTTTGTGTAAAGTGAATCTCACCTCCAGCAAGTCGGCCACATTAGTCCTCAGTGACTCTGTTCCTCCGCAGTACAGGTACGACATCATCATCTGCAGATTGGTCACAGGTCTCATTTAGCAAATACTTTATTTTTCAAACAATATGAAACCAAGTCTCAGTTTTTTTCCATCAACTCTGATTGTTGTTACATCATAAATGTTTGAACTTAAGTAAAACATCAGAAAAGTATATTTGTTACCTGGAAAATGTTGTACTTGACGTCACCGATCTCAACCTCCTTGTTGGGGCTTCCGTCTGATCCGGAAGACGCCAGCAGAGACTTAAATCTAAAAGAAATAAAACATCCATGTCAAAAAATACAGATTAAAAATAACACGGTCTAAGCAGCGAGTCTCTTTGTTCCAGTGTGAACTGCTGCACTCACCTGTCAGAGGCAGTGATCAGCAGCACCCTGTGGCCGTAGAACGGTTTCCCCTCCACCACAAACGTCACGTCTGACATCTCCTGGTTATTCAGGAAGTGAGGGTCTGCAGACAACCACATCAGCACCTCCTTACAACTAAGTTCACTTTTAACACAGTTTTCTTGTAACAGGGCTCGGTCTGTTCACTACTTTGATAATCAATCAATCATTTAGATGCAGAAGTAACAAAACTTCCCTAGTTCCAGTTTTTCCACTGCAAGGATTTGCTGCCTGTATTTGTCTTGTGTGATAATAAAGCGACTAAGTTGCTATTTATCAGCATTTTCTAATATTTCCTCAGCTCAGTTTAATCTATTAATCAGGAACACAACCAGCAGATTAGTCGATAATGAAAAGACTTAGTTGTAACCCTTTAACCATTGGGGAATGTTAACATAAAGCCATCACAGTCTTCTACTCTGAAACACTGAGTCTGTTCATAATCATAGTTTCCTTACCCAACTGAGCTGAAAGAGTCGCCTTCATCTCGGGGACGGAGGGAAGCGGCGCTGGGCCAAAACAGTGACTGAAAATAGCCGCCAACTGCTGGATAATGGCATCATTCTGGGGGAAAATGAGCCGGGAGGAGGGGATAATATTAAAAGGAAATTCATTTATGACTATTATATGGTTGATGATGATGAGTTTGAGTTTTTACCTTGGTGGTACGCAGGATATTGAACATGAGTGGCAGGCCCACGGTGACCAGCTCCTCACAGTAGTCCTCCTCTCTGATGGTGGTGAACTCTCTGAGGAGGGAGAGGGTGACCCCTGCCCTCGACTGCTGCTGAGCACAACGCAGAGATTCCAGCCACACGTGGAGTTTCCATGGAACGCCTGGTTAGAAAGAGGGGGTTTGTTTTCTATTTCCCCGAGTAAGCATGATTTGAAAAGTAAGCTCAACCTCTTCCTGCTGTCTGGTGCTTACCCATAGCTCGTAGCTCCATGGTGACGTCCAGGTAGCCGTGCTCAGCGCTGTAATAGCTGGCCTCTTGCAGAGCCTTCATCCTGGCCTTGCAGAGCCTGGGGATGCCCACCTCTGGCAGAGCCCCCGGGCCGGAAGAAGAAGAAGAAGGAGTAGGGAGCGGCGAGAGAGGGAGGAAAGGGCAGACCCCGGCCTCCTCACCCTCCACCCCCTCAGCCAAGATCTCCTCCAGAGACAGGACGTCCTCTTTGACTTGCTGCGGCTGAGTCAGTAGCTTTCTCAGCACGTTCCTGACAAGATAAATGGGAGGAAGAAAGAGGGAGGAAGGAAAGACACAAAGAAAAAAGCATGAAAACGAATAAATGTCTTCGCTTCAATGAATCTACGTGTCCTCCGCTTTGATTATATGATCCGTCACCCTCGCTGTGGAATGTGAAGTGTTGAGTCTACACTGTGTTCACGCACAGACACGGTGAACAGGTGGAGAGGTTTACGTTAACAACTGGTGTTCACAGACTCTTGAGCTGAGGGAGACCCTGAACTCGCTTTTCACAGTCTGATACTTTCAAAGATTTTCATTACACCACGCGATAACACGAATGAATCTCAATTAAAATGTGAACTCAGGTCAAGTATGATGTAGCGCTGACATATAGTAGTTAGCGTTACGCAGTTATGAGGCCGGAGACTTGCAGTTTATCAGCAGCTGCGCTACAAATACTGTTCACGGGTCCGGGGACGAGGGTTAAATACCTGTGTCCGTGTGCGGCGGCGTGACTGAAGCAGTTCATGTCTTCATAGAGCGACGACGTGAGGGCATTTCCATCGTGGATCTTCGATAAGGGGTCAGCGCCCCGGGCCAGAAGCAAACTCACCATCTCGTAGTTGCCTGTGGGGAACAGATTGACAGTCAGTTACATGCAGACACATTCAAATACAATGTGACGTTTTTACTGGTACGTTTACTGCTGCAGCGATTACATTTTACCACAGGGATCAAAGGTTTACTGTAATTTATTTTGCATTTTCAAACAAACAGATGCATTCATATTAGGCACTGTTTACACGCTGTCAGTGCTGTGTACAGCCTGTGTCTCTATTACTCTGTGTGGTTTCAAATGATCCCACAGAGGAATGCTGCCCGGAGGCTTCCAACAGAACCGCAGGCAGCTCACTGCGACTTCATGCGCCCTCTCATTTCCTCATTCCTGTCATTCACAGCTCAATCACATGTTAATCTTGGTGATCTTCTGGAAAACTAACACACTACTGATCACTTTCTATGAGTTGGTTTGATAAATGTTACAACAAAGCCTTCTCTTGATCCCCTGAGGACTCGTAGCCTGTTTAATTAAGTGTTAAGTAGTAATTTAGCCGCTATAAATCTGATCAGAACACCGACCACATGCAAGTCAGATAATCCTCCCGCATCAGCTGTGCCTTGTGTCGTGCGTATGTGCATGTGTGTTGGCCCACCTGCTGCTGAGGCCAGCTGCAGCGGAGTGTCTGCCGTGCTCTCCTGTCCGTTGCGGACCGCGGCCCCCTCCACATTGGCCCCTGCATCCAAAAGGAGCTGCGGAGAAACACCACATCTGTTATATTGAGCAATGTTTGACATCCTGTAACTTATTCACGTCCTGACCTCTGACCTCACATTTGTCAATCCACTTAGCATCATATACCCAGTTGGCTCAAGACAATGTAGGACAAACTGCAATTGTTGCACATATGGTACAGGTCATTTCCCCATGAATAAAATTACGCCACACAGGACAGATGTCAAAAGAAGAATTTCAACACACGCTACATCTGGTTGGTTTTAAATGCGCGTGCTTGTGTTTCCAACCTGCACAACGGAGATGTGTCCATGCAGCACTGCGAAGGTGAGGGCTGCCCAGTGTCGACTATCAGGATGCACAGAGGGGTGCTTTGGGGAGCAAGGAGGAACCTGCAGGCACAAGACAAATCCGTGTTACACACCAAGATTATAGTGTAATGTGATGCATTTAAATAAATCTTTCCATGTGTTGGAATTGTTTAAGTATGCATATATATGTATATATAAATATCTATATATATATACCGCCACATCGAGGTTGGCCCCTGCATCGATCAACATCTGGACCAAGGCCTCATCTCCAGCTGCACACGCATACATCAGAGGAGTCATTCCCTGCGTGATGAGTGAAAGAGAGCAATGAATCAAAAGGGAGAAACATACATTTATGAAGTACTGATTTAAATATTACTTTTGGATGGGATTTCCAATGTATTCTGCTGCAATATTCCACTTGGCACATGTCATACATAAAGAGATAGATGATCAGTACCTGGTCGTCCATGCTGTTGACCCCGTCCGGCCCCAGCAGGTCGATGGCTTGGCCTATGAGGTCCGTGCGCCCACAGTTGAGCATCCGAAAGCCTAAATCTAGGTGGAACTTGTCTGTGGCGGCTTTGGAGTCCAGACGTTTGAAGGAGCTGAAGCAACACTCTGGCCTGATGGAGACAAAGACAAAGAGAGAGAGAAAATGAACGACCAGCCAATGTTCAATCTGTGAGAGGTGATCGGAGTCTGAGAACAGATAAAACATAAGACCAAGCTGAAATGATTTGTTTCAACCTTGTGGCTCGTGCATTTTACATATTTACATCTAATGCTGTTTAGAAATGATAGTACACTTCATGAAAAGGTTAATGAGCCACATTACAGCGAGTGAACGCTCATTAATCAAACATATGCAGTCTGTAATTATGCGTCAGTAAGAACCAATAAAATGACGAGCCAATAGTTCATGAGACAAAGGAAACACATCTGGAATCCTCGACCCTCTCTGAGCTATTACTTTTTGTTTCACCTCGACTAATGAGATTGACCTCACAAACACACACGGCTGACTGACGCTGGAGTCGAGGAAACTAAAACAAGGTATTGTCTGAAGACTTTCACAGTATGCGGGTGTGTGCGTTCTCATTTACTTCAGCTGTCTCGGTTCACAGTCCAGTCCTGGCAGGAGAAGACGTGCGGTCTGTCTGACATCGTCACTGTCCACCAGCAGACTCTTGCGATGCTCAGCGTGAACTATGGCCACTCTCATCCACTCCATCAGCGGCGGCAGCAGCAGGAACGGCCTGTGAAGAAGAGCGATAAATAATTCAGCTTGTATCTTTATGCTTGGTCACAAAAAAAGAAAAGTTAAACCCTGACACGGTAATGGATAGAACTCTGTCATACTGTAATTTACAAAGTACATTTACTCTGCTACTGTACAGCTTTCATGTATCTGTACTAAAAATACTAGCAAATATCTGTAATTTCTACTACGCTACATTTTTATAATGCGCTACACAGTAATCAATAACAAGGAGGGAATTGGCTCACTGATCCAACCATTAGGGAATCAGCAAGTCTCAGCAAGTATTTTTACTTGTAGTACTTTGAGTGTATTTAAAAGAAAGTAGTGGTACTTTTGCTTGAGAATATTTCTGTCTAGTTATTTGTACTTTGCCTTAAGTGAAATGTTAAACTACTTCCTGCAGCACCGTGTACACAGCCACTCCTCAGCTCTCAGCTGTTGTCGTGTATGTACTGAGACTCGGCGCTGCGAGGAAGACGATGATTCAGTTATGTTAAGAGGAAACTCATAAACTATCTGAACTGGATGATGACTTATATGTGTCTGGCAGTACTTCTCGCAATGACCAGTGCACAATGAGTCACGTTTAAACACAACCAGACACACATACTGTACATACGTATATGAAACACTCCATATGTGCAAGCACACACACAGATAACAGCTGGATCCACACAATGACTAATGAATGTCGGTTGCCAGGTTGGGGAGTGACATCAGCTTTCTTTGACCGTAAGCTGTGACTGAAGATGAGAGCAAGAGCTACGGATTAATTTCCTGTGTGGTTTGATAAACATGAGAAATTGTGCAGTCGTTTTTGAAGAGTCGGTCTATTTTTAAACCAGTTCTATTAGAATGTACAAGCTGAGGGAGCTGAACTAAGGTGCAGCCACCTGGCATTTACGTAGATGGTTTCTGAGATTTAGTCTGGAAAAAACAAATCAAGAAAAGAGAACCAGCTGAAAGAAAAAAAAAGAAAAAGAAACAACAGACATAGTTGACCTTAGCGCTGAGGGAGCAAGAAAATATGTGATTAATCATGAGGGAAGCAGTGAAGTAAACACAAGAAGAGGAATAAAAGAGAACAGAACCCAAGGTCTCCATTTGTGAAGGTGGTATTCTGAAAGTTATCAACATTACTTTATTGCTCTCTTTTTTCTCTCTGTCTTCATTGTCCTCCTCTCACACCTTCTCTTCTAAACCACTCGTGACGTGGTCACGTCTAGCCAGTTATCTGGTATAACTCCCTTCTTGTCTGTGCCTTTCTTTCACCATATGTGCATAGAATGAGTCTGTGAACAATGGCACATCATTGTGAGATTCACTGTTGTTTCCTTCTGATGCTATCAAGCCTCAGTCAGAGTGAGCTGATTGTTTGAACACTGGCTGTGTTATCACGAGCTAATAAGCAGAGCTACTCCTGCTGTGATGTTATTCTTAGCGGAGGCTTCACCTTTGTTCTGAGATGCAAACACTGCGGTGCATGAATATACACACACACACACACAAACACACGAGGGCAAAAGCATGAGCTGTATACTGACAGATAATACTGTAGAGCGCACACTATAGGGATTGTAGTGACTGTTAATGAGCACAGGGACCCCTGCAGAGCCATTTATTCTCCTCTGGTTTCCTGTAGAACTGCTCCCTCATTCATCAGTGCTCTGTTAGTGATGTATAATGTGGATCTCCTCTGTGTTATCGCAGAATGGTGAATGTAAAACCTTTTAAAACTTTAATGTAACGAGAGATGTTCTGATGCATGGACTTTGTGAATTGACCGAAACCAAAAACAGGCCTAACCCTAATGTACATATATATATATATATATATAATGTATTTTAACAGCTCTATGTTACGAACCCTGTATGGAAATGAAGATTTGCATCACTGTTGTATAGCCTGGCTAAGATTACAACTTTTGAAAAACAAATTCATACAGCGAATGCATGACAAAACTTCTTGACAGCTTTAACTGAAAAATAAATAAATAAAGGAATAAACAATAGCGAAGTTGTGCATACAGTAGATGCTGCAGTATTTTATCTGAAAACCTGTGTTTCACATTTTCATTACTAACTTTATTCAATATTAGCCGTCCTAAATATTTGAATTCAATTTTTGGCTTTTATGAAGCTGCTGTCCACTGTTCTCTATCTATTCTTTCTTCTAGTTATCCTGTCAGCTGTTGCCTCAATGCTTCAGTCATTGATCAGTCAGGATGAGAGGTCCTGCTGTCATCCGTCACTCAGGACTGACAGTCAACAAGCAGACAAGAGGATAATGAGCTGGAGGAGGAGGGAGAGGGAATGAATAAATAGAAGTGACGGGTGAATACAAGGAGGGTTTGAGTGTGTGAGCTGGGGGGGGGGTTGGGTGGGAGCTTCTGGCAGATTGTGGACAGTGCTGCAGGCATTGATTGATAAGAAAGCCATGTTTCTGAGGAGAGGAGGAGCTATGGGTTAGGGGATCAAAGTTTATACCTTTGCTAATGGTCTCCACTCAACACAAACTGGGCTGTGTGTGTCTGTTCACTCTGTGTCCGTCCTCCTGAAGGCCACAAGGCACCCACCCCGCCACTTTGCTGCACGCTTGCTTCCAGGCATGCACGCAGCACGGGTGCTAATTCACAACTAAAGCGGCTTCAGTCAACCGTGTCCTGCTTTCAACACTTAACACTCATTGATCCGTCAGAGATTTGTTTTCTGTCCCACTGAATATTTATCTGATCTGTGTGTGTGTGTGTGTGTGTGTGTGTGTGTGTGGGGGGGGGGGGCTCTCAGTAGATGGAGCCTGTCTGTACCATCTCTTCCATGAATCTTTATTTTTAAGTAAGACTGACCAGAACTCCTCACTTCTCCTACTCACACACACTTGCCAGCGCCTTCCCTGTATTTCACCCGCTTCCCCTCACCCCCCTCCCATCTGACCCCTGTGTCTGGGTTATACCCTCAGCCTGAAACACAAACTTCTACTTCGTCAAAGAGCGAGTGCAACATCAAAGCCGAGCCGCCTGTAACCGCTGTAACTGGATAGCACTTTTGGCTAGCCCACTGACCCGACATGCTATGGCTGCACACCAGTAACAGCAGGATATAGACGCACACAGACATATAAGCACCCTCTGCTTACCACCACCTGGCCGGTCATAAAGTGACAGTCAGCTCGAATTGTGGTCAGGTGTGTTTGAACTCTCTTTAAACTGTAACCTGTCCAAAACATGAAAAGCAAAGGTTACGCTCCCCTGAAGGCCACTTCACACATGCTACACCGACCCCATATGTTCTGTGCGTCCTTTTTTTCTGAAACCAGTGTTGAGTTTAGTCAGTAGGAAACTTCAATCCGGTTTTAAAGCAGACCCCATCAAGAGCTGCACAAGGGTCAAGGCTAACTGCCGATACAGAGTGAGATCATTATCATAACGGCTCTGTGTTACAATATCTGGTGTGTCTGTGGTTAGAAGTAACCCCAGCTTGGCTTCTTCTTATCAGAGCAACACATCTATCCATTAGTGCCGACTTCCATCTACTGAAGGAAACAGTGGAGTTAGGGTTCTCTGTATAGACGGGGGGTTTGGAAGTACTCCCCTTTGTTGGCCACACTAGTGATCTTACTGTTAAAATAAATTGGTTAATAACTTTAAACATTAATGATAATATTTTTATACAATGTGGCTCAAAGAGTGGAGTGTAAAAATAAGCAGACATACACACTGGAGGCTGCCCTCCCAGACTTCACCCAGACTAATGCTCCAATTCAAAATCATCACTCACAACTAAGTAGGAGCTTAAAGGGATCATAACAAAAAAAAAAGCGTCTCTCACAGTCTCAAGGATTCTGCAATCACACTCTCACCACCAGACTAGACTCCCTGTACTGTTTGATGATGTGGCCCACACAGATTTGGAGGTTTTGGGTTTCCACCAAAAGATTTTATAAAGCTTTCAATAGAGGGCGAGCCGATGGGGAGGTACTCAAAGTGTAATCACTGCCAGGTCTGCACTGCTCTCCTCCGCCACCTGAGTCTGACCCGCATGCTAACAACTCACAGACACAGCGTGGCATGTAGCAACGCTGAGGCAGATCAGCAGATCGCTAGGAAGAAAACCAGCATGTTGCAGATGTTCCAAGGTATACAGTCTAACAGGATGCTAAATCATTTCATGCTGCACACATAAACCAGGCCGATATGTACCCAGGATTAAAAACATCTGAGGACTTGGAAGAAACAGCGGCTATGGGGGAAAAGAGGGGTGTGTATTTGCTGTTCGTTTCCCTTTGATGCTAATGAGGTGTCCACCTTTCCTCACTCACACTGTGTCTATTATTAAACGTATAAAAGCCAGGTGTGTGTGTGTGTGTGTGTGTGTGTGTGTGTGTGTGTGT